ATTATCCAAACATTTTCAATTATACTAGAATCAATTTCAGAAAACTATATCCAAATATAATCATGTCATAATATAATAATTATAATCAAAATTAATTATATTAATCAACTTATTTCATAATTAGTTATACCCCAACTGAAATCCAAACACATCCTAAAGTGACATGAGTAATTGCTTATCTATAAATCTAGATTTGATTGACCAATGTAAAAGAGAAGGTTACATACAGAGGGTAAAAGATGAACAAGAGCATTTTGGAGATATCTTCTTGTATTTTACCTCAATATAATTTGCAATCATTAGTCTTCATGAATATGTTCATGTTCTTCCCTTTATTCAAGTTTTGAAAGTTTAACAAGCGTACTATAATGTTAAACAACTATAAAGAATATGTTAATATTAATTATGTAAAATAAGTTAATCAAACAAGTTTTTGTATCTTCTCAAAACATGTTTTGAGAACAATTTATCAAACAAGTTTTTTATATTTTTTTAATTTTTATATATAATTTTTTAGAACAAATATTCAAACAAGTTTTTTTGTTTTGGATTAAGGTGTAATTTTGCTCTTAAACTATTTGCAGAATAGTAATGTTACTTCTAAACTAAACATAGTAATATCACCCCTAAACTAATTAAACTGGAGCAATAGTGCCCCCATCGTTTAAAATCCAAAAATGTCTTTTATTTGAAGCACGTGGCTTTCATTAGTCAAAATTCTTACTTAACGGTCAAACATTTAGATTTTAATTAATAAGGCAATATTGCTTTAATTTAATTAGTTTAAGAGCTATATCACTACGTTGAATAATTTAGGAACAACATTATTCTTTGGGAATAGTTTAGAGATAAAATTACATCTTAACCATTTTTTTTTAGTTTTCAAAACAAATTCTACATAATACCATTTTTTAAGAGTATGTTTGATTGAGGGGTTTTAGAGGGGAGGGAAGGGCTCCCTTTCCCTTATTTGGTTAAGAAATTTTGAAAGGGAGGGGAGCTAAAAATTTTCCTCCCCTCCCCTCATATTGCTCTCCTCCAATTTGGGGTTTTTTGAAAGGGAGTGAAAATTTATAACTAATTTAGCCTTCTCTTTACATTTGTCTAAGCCTTCTTTCCCTATACTTGAGCTAGTCATGTCTCACCATTTGCATTGGTCATGTGCCCTCTTCTTCCTCATTCTTTGTATTTGTAACTCTATTTCATGTGCACTGTACACTCATAATTGCGAGCACCTTCAACTTTTTTGTGCCCTCTTTCAATTCCCTATTCCGTCATTTCCCACACCTTAAAGCCTCAAGTACTACGGTTGGTGATTTCTTTTCAATTTTCTATTGTGATGATATATTGATGTTTGATTATTAGAATAAGCCTCTTATATTAATGAAAAATTAAAATATTAAAATTAAATTCAAAATTAACAAAAAAAATAATTCAATTCTAAAATAAAAAAATTATATAGAATTGACATGATAAGGTGTAAAATCATCTTAACCATGCAATTTGGGTTAAGGTCTAAAATTATTTTTCACAACAAATAATTAAAGAATATAAAACTTATATATAAGGATATAATAGAAAATTAGTTAATAACTCCTTTCCCCTCCCCTCCAACAAAACCAAATAAAGTAATATAAAAACTTTTCCCTTCTCATCTCTCCTCTTTTCTTGAACTAAACATGTCCTAAAACAATAATGGGAAAACATAATTATTAATCCTTATAATTTTATCAAATGTTGTTTTGGGTTAATATGTGATTTGGTCCCTGAATTATAGGTCTAAGGGTGATTTAAATCCTAAACCTTTAAAAGATGAATTCTTAATCTTAAACAATTAATGTTGGGACAATTTTGCCCTTATTGTTAAATTTAGACAAATGTCTATCAAATTGGGACCTAATGTGTGATTTTCACCAAATTATGGTAGGAGAGAAAGGGAGAGTGGAATTTGGTGAAAATCATACATTAGTACCCAATTTGATGCACGTTTGTTGAAATTTAATAGGGGGACAATTTTTTCAACTTTAATTGTTTAGGATTTAGAATGTATCTTTTAAAAGTTTAGGATTCAAATCGCTCCTAAACTTATAGTTCAAGATTTAAGCTGTATACTAACCCTTTTGTTTTTAATACTTATAGTTTTTTTTCAGTATTTTCAGTCTTTTGAAGAAATCAAGGGATGGAAGAAACATGCAATCAGAAAATGCCACTTGGACAAGCCTCCAAAATAGTGCTCTCCTAATGATCATGTTTTGAAAAATAAGAAGGAGGTCAAGGAAGATGGCATCATGTCCGATAGAATGGAAGACATAGAGACTTGTGTTGATTTGGCGTGACCATCTAAAGAAAAGAAGAGTCCTACTGTCAACAATAGATAGTCTTCATATAAGGAATCTCTTTTAGGATTTAAAGGAATTGATTATAATGGCATCGCTTATGGAAGTTCCGTCATGGAAGATGATCTTTTGATCTCGGACTTGCTTTAACAAATGTGGGACCTACTTGAACCTTTAGAGTAAATAAAAAAGCTAATGAGTATTTATCCTATCATCCCTGTCTCTCACAACGATTTTAATGATTGGTGCAGGCCTTGGAATAATACATTGGTTATCACTATTCTTGGAGCACACTTCATTCTGTGAAAGTTTAAGGAGTGTTTGAGAAGAATTTGATACTTGAATGAATTCGAGCTTATTGACATTCCTAACAACTACTATGTTGTTCGTTTCACTGATGAGACCAACTGGGTAGTTCAGTATAAAAAAGCCTTGTTTAGAGGACCTTGGCTTATTGCATAGCATTGTGTGCAACGATGGACACCATATTTTGATCCTTTTCATAATTCTTTAGGGAGAATCACTACCTGGGTTCACATTCCTAACATTCCCATGCATTATTACACTAAGAGCTTCATCTATAGATTAAGTGACATGATCGGACGAACTATCAAAGTTGATATGAATACAATTGCAGATGTGGATGCCTTAAAAGCTAAAGTTGAACAGGGAGATATGCTAGGATTTGTGTTAAGCTCAACTTGCAAAAGAAATTAGTGCCTCAAATTATCTTGGCTTCTACACTCTTCAATGTGGAATACGAGGGACTTGATCTAATTTGTTTTGCCTGTGGGAGATATGGACATCGAACAGAAGTGTGTTCATGGATATCAAGTGTGTCGTCTTCTCAAGCTTCAAGCCCAATTATTGCTATTCCACTACCTTGCTTGTTGCTGGAGAGTAAGCTACCTGGAGTAGATGAAATATTCAAGATTTAGATGTTTCCTCTGGAGCCTGCTCATCTTCATTTTGCACATCCAAAAAGCTATAAGGTTAGGTATGATTTCAAGGGAAGAAACACGCCTTAAGGGGAAAAAGTTGATTACATATGGATTTCTTCAAGATATGCAGCCCTTATAGACTTAGGGGATGATGATGGGAAGTTTTGCTTTTGACACTATGGATAAATCACTGATAATGTATGTTGAGAAAAGGGAGGCTCAAAAAAAAGCCATTTCTGAGATGGGACAAAGGGGTAATTCTTATAGAAAGGACCTAAATAATGGAAAAGGGATTTGTGTAGCAAAAGGTAAGGAAGCTGTAAGACCTAATCCATCAAGCTTGATTGACAAAGTTCATCCTAAAAATTTAGCCAATAATGGGCTAAAAAATGGATCCAAATCTATAATAAAGTCAAGCAAGACAAAAGAATTATGGCCCAAAGAGCCTATATAGTGGTAAGTGCTTCTTTAAACTTTAGCCCAAACTAATTGCAAGCTAATCATTGATGAGAAGGAATTTCCACCTTTTGTGTCTCTGCCCTAATTGATGCCTTCTGATATGTCCATAGTTATCACACATTCCTTGAAACATCTTCTCCCTGAGCCTTAACTACTAGAGGAAATCAAAAACCAAGAGTAATCCTTAAAGGGCAAAAATTAATGCCACAGTCACCCTTTTATATGGTATTATGGAGGTTGACATTCATCACGAGTATGGTAAAGTTTTTTAAATGTACAAATCTCATTATAGGAGATAGTCATGGAGTAGGCAGATCTGATAACTTTTATTACTAATATTCCTATTGATTGTTATGTATTTTTACATGAGGATAGGTTGAGGGTTATCTAGATACTTTTATTTGTAAACTCTTCAAGTCCCAAGCTTGCCTTACTTATTAAAAAAAAAAGTATTTTCAATCTTTTTACGAGTTAAAACCATTGAAAATATTGAAATTATAGAACCTAAATGATAAATATAATTCAACCTTACTAAAAGGAAAAATGACAATAAAATTCTTTTGAATTGTGTAAATAACAATTTGGTCCCTCAAAATGCCATAATACTAATAAAGTCATTAAGGACTTTTTTGTCAATAACTTTTTTTAAAAAAAATACTATTTTACCCTTACTGAAAATAACAAAACTCAATCACAACTCTTGTTTAAAAAGTCACAATTTTTGTTCTGTAAATTACAAAAATTGAATAATAAATCACAATATGTCAAATTTAATTTTTGTTATTAAAAAACAAGCTCTAATCATAACTTTTGTTTAAGGAACAATAACTTTTGTTCTGTGAATCACAAGAGTTAAATAAAAAATCACAATTTATTAAGTGTAATTTCTATTATTAAAAAATAAGTTCTTAAAATAACAAACTTTATTCATAACTTTTGTTTTAAGAATAATAATTTTTTTTCAAAGAATTGTAAGAATTTAATAAGAAATCATAATTTGTCAATAAAGATAAAATAAGTTTTTTTAAAAAAAATTTATGACAAAGAGGTTACTGAAAACTTTATTAATATTATAATATTTTAAGGGATCAAATTATCATTTATATAATTTTAAAAAATTTTACTATCATTTTTTTTATTAAAACTATAATAAATAAAACGATGGAAAAAATTATAAAAATTTAAAATAAAATCTAATAAAATTTTAGAGGCCAATAATGGTGTTTTACCAACAATAAAACAAAAGACATTTCCAAACAAGCTCTCTCTACTGGTCCTTGTCTTTCAAAACTCAGAAACATCGAGTTTGGCTGTCCTACCCTTTGATGAAGAAATGGGAGGTGTTAGCTTTGAAATTAGTAGAAATTCAGCTTTTGCTATGCATTGCTATGGAAATTCGTTTTCTTCCGGGGTTACGGTATCTTGGAGACCCTTTCTTGGTACGTCTTTGGACACTAGAACTGCAAGGAAATATCAAGTTTTTCATGCTCAAAAGCTCAATTATGGACCAGCTTGTGCTTCGTCGAAGAGTGTCTTCAACGCTGGGTTGATTAGTGATGGTCTGGTTTCAAGTGAATTAGAGTTTAAGCCATCATTCGATGATTATTTGAAGGAAATGGATTCTGCCAGAGCGGACAAGGAAAAATTGTCCTCCAGAAATGTTAGGGTAAAGAAGCATGCTGCCAATACTGAAAACCAAAAGAGGGAAAAGGTTATGTCGAGGAAACCAAGGTTGGAAGGAGTTGAAAAAAGTACAAAACTTGAAAAGCTGGGAGGACATGTGGATAAAACAAATGAGTTAGGATTTGCTGAAAAAAATGGGGCATTGCAAGTAGTTGAAACAGTCCTGGGAAAAGAAAGCTCCTCCGTAGGTCATATTAAGCTCAGACCACGAGGGGCTAAAAGACGTGAACCTGAGTATGACGGGGAAGAAAGCAAGCTTGATAGTGCTGTGAAGCAGAAAAAGGAGGCAGAGGTAATAGAAGACAGGTGGTTGGAATGCCGGATTAATAGATCAAAACCAGATTCTGATGGCAGTTTGTTTAAAAGGGAACGTAGAAGGACAGGCAATAGCAAAGCTTCACTTAATCGGAACAGCAACTGTGGCAACACCATAGAGGTGGAAGTCGGCCACGAAGTACAATCTTTAAAGATGGTAGGAGAAAAGGATGTTACAACCCGCCAAATATGCTGCAACTCAAAAGGGAAAATGCCTATGATAAACAAAACTGTTGTTAGCAACAACGGCATTCACAATGGACGTGAGAAAATCTGCACAAAAAATGAGAACGTGGGGAAAGAAAATGGGTGGGAAAATCTCAACTTGAATGGAAGCATTAGATGTTATGGTTATGACAACTTGGAGGTGGAAAGAGCAGCATTTAAGACTTTTGAAGAGTTGAATGGTGTTGTCAACAAGCCACAGGTTTCGCACAAGGAAACGGAGGATAGAATCCAAAGGCTAGCAAATTCGTACGGAGTCATTTCCTCCTTCTTTGCTCATGGAATACGTGAAAATAGAAAATATTTACTCAGAAGTTTAATGTGTTCTTGATTTTTATCGCATTATTATTTTGATTCATTAGCTAAGAAATTGAAGCAGTGTGCATGGGAACCTGTAGAAGCCTTTACTGCCGAAAGGAAAGAAAAAGGCATAAAAGTATGATACAAATAGCATTGACGATCACAAGTTGGATGTCTCAATGGCCACTGAAGTATTTTCGGCATAGAAATTAAATTAGGAGTAAAACTCGTCTCCTAAGGATGAACTTCTGTGATTTTGTATTTATTATTTCCTTCTTACATTTCTGGAGTGGACATTGGCTTGCTTCCATCACTGTAATTGATACCTGGAGGATTTTTTTTCATGTGATGCATTCATCTTTTTCTTTCGTTTTATGCTCTTTCATACTTGATACATGTATGGTTCAAGGGTTTTTTGTTATTTCAATCATACTAAATTGTCTTTTTCCGTCCCCTTGGATAATTTTCCCAAACAGGTTGAATGGTGCTGATATAAATATGCCTGAATGGATCTTTTCTAAGATGATGAGAAGTGCAAAGATAAAATTTAATGATTATTCTATTGTGAGGGTTATCCAAAGATTGGGAAAACTAGGAAACTGGCAGCGGGTGATACAGGTCATTGAATGGCTTCAAAGGCGTGAGCGTTTCAAATCCCACAAGCTAAGGTACTTGTATCCTTCTCTAAATCAATAGGTCTTGTGCCTGACGTTTAGTTAACATTGTGTGATGTATTATCTGGCATATAACTATGTTTGTATGAAAACCCCAGTTTAATTTGTATTAGTAGCAGGTGAAAACCTCTGTTACAGATGGTTCATTTGTAAGGGCAGTCATACTTCCAGACTAAACTGGAATATTTACGGCATTGCACTTTGTTTTTATGTGTTCCCTTTTTCTTTTTCTTCTTGTTACTAGAGGTACATGTTTTCATCCTTCATGCATTTGACTTTGATTTCTCTGCAACAAAATTTGTTGCCTGTATATGGAAAGGGAATTTGAAAGCTGTGAAGTTTTATTTTTGGCCAGTCCCTGGCATTATTTGCTCTGAGTATCCTTTGATGTGTGGATCTTCAACGCCAGGCATATATACACTGCTGCTCTTGATGCACTTGGAAAGGCAAGGAGACCCATAGAGGCACTAAATGTATTTCACGCGATGCTGGTAATGCACGTGGTTCATGCATCATGCTCTTTTGTTGGGAAATGTGTTTTCTGATATTGAGGTTAGAATATGGAGTTTGCATTACTTTCCTAACTCACTTTCCTCTCTTGTTTTTTTTTTTTTCCAGCAACAATTGTCCACATACCCTGATTTGGTAGCTTACCGTAGTATTGCTGTCACTCTTGGACAAGCAGGGCACATGAAGGAACTCTTTGATGTGATTGACATCATGCGGTTGCCACCTAAGAAGAAGTTCAAAGTAGGGGCACTTGGGAACTGGGACCCTAGGCTGGAACCAGATGTCGTAGTTTATAATGCCGTAAGTTTTAGTTGGTGAATAATTTGTGCAAGAGACGGCAGTTTTCTTTAAATTCTTTGAAGGTTTTTCTCACAGTGAATTAGATGGACTTTGGTGCAGCCTTTTAATTTCTTGAGATTATAAGTTGAAGTTTTGATAGAAACTTGGATATATTTGATTATACAGGAAGAATTACACCTCTTCAATGGGAAATGCAAGAGGAAAATCAATATATCACAAGCAATCCCCTTACTACAGCAGCTAATCACTCTTGAAAACTAAAGAAATTTTGAGAAATTTGAATGAAGAACGGAATTAGACATTTGAGATAGACAAATGCTGTACCATTTGACTTCAAATAATTCAAATTCATACATCTCAATCACTTATTAGCACAAACAGCTAAATCGTGCATTACAAAAAACATTCACGAGCCCACACAACTTGGCTTCCTATAGAATTTATATATTAGTAGATAAAAGCAGAGAGGTAGAGCAAGCAAAGCAAACGACAGAACTCCCTTGAGTTTCAACTTTCAAGAGGTCAGGTATCTCCTGACTACACTAAAATCCTTGCCTGCATTGCCTCTGCAAAAGTATAGCCCGTAAACGTCCACTCACTCCATGTAGACACTCACAGACCCACTCACTCCATGTAGACACTCGTACCACCACAAACAAAATACAGATGCACCAGCTTGGTGACCACTTTTGGGACCACCTCCTTTCCCCTCCTTGCTCATCTCCTAGTGTACACATTTCTACACCTCTTAACAGATGGGTCTTTGTTCTATCCTCTAGTGTAGACTTGGCCCAATAGACTATTGGGCCCATCATCTCCCCCTCCTGCCAGTCTCACCTTGTCCTCAAGTGTCAGGGTGAAATTCAGGAAATTGATTTACTGTAACTTCTGTATTCTCTCAAGTGCTATAACAATCAGGAAGATTCTTCCATATAATGAGAGCTTGAGTTCTGCTGTCTGCCAATCTTTACACTCTTTTGAAACTCTGGCTGAACTTGCAGTTCCTGCTCCTTGGATAGGAATGAAGGGAGTTGTTGGGCTCTAATTTAGGGAAGAATGGATTTTTTTCCCCCCTTTGAACTGGGACACACGATAGGTGGGGTGAATTTGGGCTGTTGCAGGTAACTCCAGTTTGTAGGTCACATTCCCATGCTTTCCAGCACTTTGAAAGGTCCGTAAAAGAACCAGCTATATGGTGCATGGATTCTTTTCAGTTGGTCAGAGAGAAGTGTGATTTACGGGCGCCATATGTAATTTGCTTGGTTTCATCGGTAATAATTTTAGAAAAAAAATCCTCAAAATTGAGGGAAGATCTTCTCATTGATCTTTTAAGCCAATATCTTCAGTTTGTGAGGCTAAAATTTGAGATAAACCATGTCTCCCACTTCAAACTCATCCTCCCTCCTCTTCTTCTCAGCTCGCTCTTTCATATGCTGCTGTGCTTGCTCCAAATGGGACTTGAGTTTATCTAAGGTCTCTTTCTTTTCTTCAATCTGTTCATTCTCTTCTTCTGCCAATTAGATAGAGAACATAGTGTAGCTTTTATATATTTGATTATATAGGAAGAGTTACTCCTCATCAACGGGAATGGAAGAGGAAAATCAGTGTATTACTAGCAATTTCTCCCTATTACAGCTGCTAATCACACTGGAAAATTAGAGAAATTTTGAGCAAATAAAAGCAAAGAGATAGAGCAAAGCAAGTGAGAGAACTTCTGTGTGTTTTGAGAGGTCAGGGTCTCTCAACAATACCAAAATCCTTGCCTTCCCCCCACCCTTCGAACCACTGTGCAACAAGACAACCTTTAAAACACCCACCTACTCCTTTCAGACACCCATACACCCACTAACAGACAAAAGTTAGATGTGCCAGCTTAGTGACCAATTTTGGAATTACCTCCTTTCCCATCCCTAGCTCTTCTTGTATGCACCTTTCCCCATCTCTTTATAGATGGATCCTTGGTCTTTCTTCTGGTGTAGACTCAGTCTACTTGACTATTTGGCCTATCAAGTTCTAGATTATCCGGATGATTAAATTCACGTGATACAGTTTGATTTTTTTTTTTTTTAATTAGCTGAAGAGAGGATAGATATGCAGAACATGTGGAACCATTTTTCATGCGCTGTCTCAATTATATTCTCTATAGTACACTACTTTTTGCTTAGTTAAGGAGTTTCTCAAATAAAATGCTGAACTGAAATAGTTTTCTGACTTTATCTTGCTTGAAGTAGCTTCTAGCTTGCTGAGTCACTGTGGTTTACTTTGTACTCTATGTTGCATTTTGAAAAATAGATGGCTTCTTTAAATGGATGTTCGTGAAAAAAAGCATCATGCTTGCATTTCCACACATCATAGGTGCATGCCCTTTTCTTTTGTGAGTTTTTTGATTGAGTTTTGATTACACTAGTTGGAGTGGATTTTACTATGCTAATAGTTATTTTTTTCCTATAATCTTGTGCTTAATTAACATCCTTTGGTAAGTGATGTTCTGTTGTATAAATTTATTTATTTTTAATTAATTTGGATTTGATTTAGTATTTCCATGTATCAATTGAGCATGCAGGTCCTCAACGCTTGTGTTCAGCAGAAACAGTGGGAAGGGGCTTTCTGGGTTTTACAGCAGTTAAAGAAGCAACGTCAACAACCTTCTACTACAACTTCTGGCCTTGTCATGGAGGTAATAGTAGTAGCCTCCAGTTTCTTAATGTTTCATATTATTGTACAAACGTCCCATTTCTTGGTAATCAATTTGTAAAGTGAAATTTGGAATTTTTAATTTTCAATTTTGTGATAAATAAATTATAAAGTAGATTATTTAGGGAGATAATCCAAGGAGGATGGATGAAGCATTTAGCAAAAGCCGTAGCAGGGGGCGAATGACAAAAAAGGTGGGAAAAACTATAACAGCAAAGAACAAAAGTCTGACCCAAATGGATAGCCGGAAGCATGGTTTAAAAACTCTTTCATCATACTTTTGCCAAGAACTATGCCAGTTCACAACTCCTCTAGACATTTCTTTATTGCTGCCTATAACTTGATAGTGACTTATAATGAAGTCCTCAAGGTAGTTGGGCAAGCCCAAAACTTGAGACAAAGTAAGAGCCTGTTCCAAAGATGCTAAGCCACTTCTCAATGCAAAAAAAAAAAAAAAAAAAAAAAAAAAAAAGTGGCTGTTAAATTCTGGACTCTTAGAATAAGTCACGAATGCACTGGTAGTATTTCATTTGCATTTATATCAGAGTAAGGCTCTGTTTGTTACACTGAAGGTAACGCAACAGGAATGGGACAACATTGTGCAATGTCTATTATTACCGTATAATTATTCAACAATTTCTTTCTGTTTGAAATAGTTTTGAGTAAGGGCATCAAAGTCATTTTTCATCTAAAATGTTTTTTTTTTTTTGGCATTTTATTCTCCATTCCGTTGTGCATGCCAAACAGTCTTAAATCACAAGCTTTCCCTGAAATAGAAAGTTACTCGGATCTCAAGTCCAAATTAAATTTTTCGACTAAAATGCTTCCCGCATGCATAGGTTTTGGTTCATATTATACAAACTGAAAAAAAAAATAGAGAGTATTTTGATCATGAAATTTAAAAATTAGATTATAGTGTAGGGTAATGATGTAGACTAAGGTAGCATGGGATGCCAAAACCTCACATTGAGTAATAAGGAATTCACTATGGGGTTCTTAAATGGGTTGGTTTTATAGCCCCAATAACTAGCTTTTGGGGAAAGGCTTGTCACTCCACTCCGGTGCAGATTAAAGAACATCAAACTTTGCAGTTAGTGATTCCAAAAATGGCTGCAAGTAGTGGGTTTTGACCTGTTGACTATTCTGATCAGTGAGGAAACCAAGTGAAGTGTCTTGGAATGTAGTTGTTGGGACGACAACTCTACAAGGAGGGTGATTGATATAGACTGAGGTAGTATGCAGTGCCTTATCCTTGTTGAATATCCTAACGTGTCAAGGAGATTTGTGTATGTCTTGAAAATAAAGTGAGCGTTTGAAAAACTTCAGCAAAATTGAGGGTAGGCTTATGTAATTTACTCATAATATTCTTTATTTGAAAATCAGTATTGTTTAGGGATTTGAATTGTGAAGTCAAATAGGGCTTTTGATATGAAAATCTTTTAATTTTATCAAATGGATTTTATTCCTTTAAATGGGAAGATTACCATTGCTTTTTATTGCCTGTTTGTTTGCTACTTTGTTTCTTCAATAGATTGCATTATACTTTGCTACATATCCTTTAAGATGAAATTTTTTGAAATTCTCACCACCTCAGTCACTAACTTCAGTTGACGGTCCATTAGCAATCTTCACTAAAAAAAACTTCAAACACATGTATGAAGATTGGAAATACGATATAGTCATATGGTTTGTTGCACCTGAGTTGAGCATCCAGATATTGATTTTTTAAGTCGAGTCATGAAAGGATTACATGTGTAGGCGATAACACCTATGCCAATGACTTTTCCTGAAATTTGGCCTTGATGAGTAGTCATTCTTGGGGGAATGACAAGAAAGGACCTCATGAGAATACTAATGCCAAATCAAGATTTTTTTAAAGATCTTAGTACTGAAATATGGGAGGAGAAGTGCTGAATTTTGGAACTTTAGTTGTGAATATACCCTAACTTGACATTAATGTTTTTATGAGGTCCTTATTTGTTATTCCCCTGATATTTTTATTTCTTTTACAATGGAACCAATTGTTCCTTTATCTCAATAAATGAATTAGGCTCCACTTGGCCTTGAGTTTGCTCCTCACTAGCCACCATAAGCCATGTGTCTCCCTTTGTTGACTTGACTTCCTATTATTTGGATTCTATGAAACTTTTGCATATGCCCTTGATATGACTTGTCTTATTATGGTGATTACGCTACATATTCCACCCTTTTTTGCTTGAGCTCAGGAGCAGTGTGTCTAGTGACCATAGCAGAAGAATTAGTCATGGTTGATTTCATGGAATGCCTCTCGAAGTGAAAGAGTGAGTTATGCGGACATAATACTCCCCTTTTACTCTTCAAAGATGGGATTAAGTCCCAACAGAAGGTGGTAAATTCTTTCCCTTCTTTACTAACTTTTGATAGTAGGATATGTGAGTGGGGATTCAAAAAAATGAACTATCTTATTCAGCTGAGATATGCTCTATATATGCAAGAAGGGAATCAAAGAGTTAGAAATATAATCACCTAATCAAACCCAACATATTAGGGGAAGTAATGACTCTGATTTGCAGTGGTCACAGGCTAATAATCAGGGATTAAAATCAAATTCATTAAATTTCGATATTTCCCACACTCCCCTTCAAGTTGGATGGTATATATCAACCATATCCGACTTGCCACTTCTTTGTAAAGACCCTTGGTAAAAATATCAGCCATTTGATTCCATGTGGGCACATGTATGAGTGATACAAGACCACCTTCGATCTTCTCTTTAATGAAGTGTCTATCCACCTCCACATGTTTTGTCCTATCATGTTGAACTGGATTGTGTGAGATATTTATAGTAGCCTTGCTATGTGTGTATAGTCTCATTGGAAATTGTAGCTCAATCTTTGGCTCCTTTAATGCCTTCTTTACCTAGATTACTTCAAATATGCCATGTGCCACTGCTCTAAATTCTGCCTTAGCACGGCTTCTTGCAACCACATTTTGTTCTTTTACTCCTCTAAGATACTAGGTTCCCCCATACATATGTACAATAGCCTAATGAAGATCTTCTATCACCATATGCTTTAGCCCAGTCTGCATCAGTAAATATTTCTACAGTCTTCCTTTCTGTCTTTTTGTATAGTGTTCCTTTTCCTGGCGTGCCCTTTAGGTACCGTATGATCTTATAGACTGCTTCAAGATGTTTCTCCTTGGATTATGCAAATGTTGACTTGCGACACTGATGGAACCCTCTATTCTAATAAGCTTTAAACAAGCATAAACCAGAAACTACACCACAAATGGGACTGAAAATTACTAATACCGAATAGCAAAGTTGGATTACAGCGAAATAAGGAACTGAAAATTACAACGTACTGAAACAGAAACAGCACAGAATACACTCCACCAAACAACAATCACAAAATATAAGTCACTCACTTACATACACACACTAAGCAGAAGATAAAATGATGAAGAAAGATGACTTCCTCCACCCCCAACCTGACATTCGAGAGGCCAGAGCTCTCCTTATCACTCTCAATATTCAAAATAATCTCCCCCTCTCTCTAGGCAAAGAGGAAGATTTAAAGACCTAAAAAGTGACTCTAGCACAGCCCTTACCCCTAGAAGACCCTTAACCATCACTAGGACTCTAGCACATCACTAGGCCATCAATTACTTTCTTTTTTCCCCTCATAACCAGGATCCGAAGGGCAAACATCTGAACCAACAATAATGTTATCTTTTAACCTCTTGCCTTCCTTGATTTTCTCTTATAGGTCTTAGTAAAAATCATGAGCTCTATCATTACCCTCCCCTTGAAGTTTCACCTTGTCCTCAAGGTGAGAAGCATAAACAGCAGTTGGTATGAACATCTGTTGGTATGAAAACAAGTTTGCCCACACCAGAAAATCTTCCAACTGAACTGCTTCAATAATCTTGACATTCTTCTTCAATCCCTTGTAATAATCTTCAACTTTCATGCCAGAGAACCGAGCATCATAACGCATATTGGATGAAAAAAAAGATTTAAACTGTTTTCCAGCAACAACAGAACCAGGAGACAGAATACTTGGGTTAGTAGACATTTCACCTCTATTTTCTTCATTTACTCCTCTTGCTCCTGAGAAAAGTCTGAGCTTCTTGTCATGCTTAGTATAAGCCGTTCTGATTTTCTTAGCAGAACAAAAACCAAAACTTTTTCCCCTATTTCAGTGAAGTCTAGTACTGTGGTCTCTTGGGAATTTTCATCTCCTCTCATTGAGAATGAAGAAGTGTTGCTGGGGAACTCAGCCCCATCTCTTGTGGGTTTTATATTGTAGACAAGAAAATTACTGATCAACACCTCCCCCTTGATCTTGAGTTTGGTTTGTTTTGCTTCCCAAATCCATCCTCCACACCTGCAGTCTGAACCTGCACATTCATCAACATGCCCAAAATCTTCAGTTCCAGTTTCACATTTTTCTCGGTACTGGTCTGAAGCTGCATTTTGCTCTGTATCTCCACTGAATTGTTGCTGTGTGCAGAAATGTATCTGTGAGTGTTGACCGTTGATCTAAAAAATTTAAACACAGCATCCAATGAGCTAAGACAAAATTTTCCAAACAACAAAGTGACATCCCCAAACATTTTGATGTCACACGTGATCAATTCTGGGATGATAACTGAAGCCCTCAGATGATATTGAGGAGATAAAAGTACAACCCCACATACATCGTCGTCCAATGGGTGACTGGATTTCTGCTTTAAGAGAAGAGATGCAAGCAAAAATTCGACTGATTTTTCAAATGATATACTCAAAGAACCAATAGCTATAGACTCCGAGTTGCAACACATGAACCTCTTAACGGAGAAGAATGTTAAGGTGACAAGAATTCCAAAAGTTGTTTTCAAACCATCCCAGTAATAGGTAACAAAAATTCTGGCAATAATTGCTGACAAGAATATTATGAAGAATGGTGTAGCTTGGAACCCACTGGACAATGAAGTAGGATGACAGCCTCAAATTGTATACTGTAGTCATACCTGACATTGGTATCATCCCTTATGCCCAACTTTGCGCCAGCCTTTTGGGTCAGACGAGCAGCATATTCATTCTTCTTGATAGTTATGTGAATTTGTGAAGCTGCCACATACAGTATGTTAACTTCTGTAATAGTTGGAGCCAGGAACAGTAGCCTTTGGTGCCAGCCAACACAAAGAGCATCTGGAATGGTGTCGCTTCCCACTGTTTTTGCATGTTTGTGGGAGAATTTTTGCTCTTCTTTAGCCTGTTGAGCGTTTAGAATGTGAGCCACAGCAAGCGTCTGGCGCAAAAATATAATATAAAGTGAAAACCCCTTCTCTGATGCAGAACGCAGCGTTGCAACCCTAGCTTCTCGAAGGATTAGGTTTCTTTTCTCCCCTTTAAGGCCCAAGCCCATTAGTTGCTTCTTAAATGAGGAATTGAATGTTGTATGCGGCTGGTTCATTCTCCTTTCATAAATTAAAAAGCTTTTAGGCCCAAAAGAATTACCATCATTTAGTATTGGGCTTCTACAGTAAGTAATTAACCTAACCCTATCCAGCCTCCACTTTCTCTTCTTTTTGCCGTCAGCCTCTTCTGCCTTCAACCTGTCTCTTCGTTGCTCATATTCTCTCCAGCGTCTTGCAGTCTTCTCAACATTATAATTTTGCTTCTTCTCCTTAGTCGCTTCTGCCCCATTAACATTTATATGCTGGACTTTGATTTTGGGACTGCTTGGTGCTAATTTGACAGCTTGCAAGGATTGAGAAGGTTTGGGTTTCATCTCTTTTGGGTTGATACCAGAATCTGCTTCAAACTTTTCTTCTCCTAAAAACGGTGACACTTTTAACTGTTGTTCAAAAGGCTCTTTCTCTCCCCCTTCTTCAACCTCCGGTATCTTTTTTATAACTCCCTCTGTTTCTTGTTCAACTGGTTTCTTCTCTTCTTTCTCACTTACAGCATCTTCATTTTCCATGTTCACCTCTGATTTCTTCTCCATTTCAGCACGCATCTCCATTCTGTCTAAAATCTTTGTGCACTTCTCTAATTTCTTCTGCATTTCCTCTGTTTTTTCCCCACATTCTTCAACAATTCTGACATCATAGCTGCTGTAACTACGAGTTCTTCTAGTAAGTTTGCCATGCCTTTTTTCCACCCTCTTTCTCTCCCTCGGATCAACCGCTCTGATACCAAATGATGGAACCCTCTATTCTAATAAGCTTTAAACAAGCATAAACCAGAAACTACACCACAAATGGGACTGAAAATTACTAATACCGAATAGCAAAGTTGGATTACAGCGAAATAAGGAACTGAAAATTACAACGTACTGAAACAGAAACAGCACAGAATACACTCCACCAAACAACAATCACAAAATATAAGTCACTCACTTACATACACACACTAAGCAGAAGATAAAATGATGAAGAAAGATGACTTCCTCCACCCCCAACCTGACATTCGAGAGGCCAGAGCTCTCCTTATCACTCTCAATATTCAAAATAATCTCCCCCTCTCTCTAGGCAAAGAGGAAGATTTAAAGACCTAAAAAGTGACTTTAGCACAGCCCTTACCCCTAGAAGACCCTTAACCATCACTAGGACTCTAGCACATCACTAGGCCATCAATTACTTTCTTTTTTCCCCTCATAACCAGGATCCGAAGGGCAAACATCTGAACCAACAATAATGTTATCTTTAACCTCTTGCCTTCCTTGATTTTCTCTTATAGGTCTTAGTAAAATCATGAGCTCTATCAGACACTAATTGCAAAAGCAATGTCTGGTTTAGTATGGGAAAGGCAAATAAGTTTCCCAACTAGTCTTTGGTATCTCCCTTTATCAACATCTTTTCCTTTGTTTTCTGCTTCTTCTTCTTCCTCTTCTTCTCTATCATCTCCATCCTTGTTTTTGTTTTCTATCTTCCTTTATCCTTCTTCTTGGTTGTTACATCTATGGGAGTCATGCTAGGTTTGCATCCCATCATTCTATTTCCTTTAGGAGATCAAGAACATTCTTCTTTTGGGATATATAAATCCCTTTCTTGGATCGTGCTACTTCCATATCCAAGAAGTATTTCATTTCTAATAGATCTTTTCTTGGAAAGCTTTAGCCAATGACTACTTTATTTTTTCCATTTCTTCTTGATCATCTCTTGTAAGAATGATATCATCCACATACACACTCAGGATGGTTCTTCTTGTTTCCTTGTGCTTGAAGAATAAAGTATGATCACTTTGGCCTTGGATGAACCCTTCTCTTTTAAGGACTTGAGTGAACCTTTTAAACCAAGCACGGGGTGACTGTTTCAATCTATATAGAGACTTCTTTAGTTTGCAAACCATATTTCGCCTTTGACTGGGGAACCTAGGTGGATATGTCATATATACCTCCTCTTTCGAATCGCCATTAAGAAAGGCATTTTTCACATTTATTTGATAAAAGGGCTAGTCGATATTAGCAACCAAAGACATCAAAATTCTCATAGTATTGAGTTTGGCTATTGGTGCAAACGTTTATGTATAATCTATTCCATAGATTTGAGAGAAACCTTTGCAACAAGATGAGCCTTGAATTTTTCAATAGTACGATTTGCTTCATATTTCACGGTGAACACCAACTTACACCTTGTACCCTTTTTTCCTTTTGGTAGTTTGGCCTCGTCCCAAGTATTATTCAATTTGAGAGCATTCATTTCTTCTATGACAGCCTTTTCCATTTTGGTGACTTTAGAGCCTCTTCAATGCATGTTGGTATTTTATACTGTCCAAGTTAGTTGTGAAAGCCAAATAATGTGGTGACAGGGCTTGGTAGGATACAAACCTTTTTATTGGGTGTTTAGTGCAGCATCTTGGCTTTTTCCTTAATACTGGTTGATCATCATAATTAGTAATCTCCTCTTCAAGTTTCTCAGGAGCTGTCGTAGGTTCAGATTCATGGTGTGTCAGGAATTTGCGTCTTATTCGTTGATGCTTTTCTCCGAACACAGTATTTTTTAGTGGTTGGTTTCTGGTACTCTCTAGGTTCATTCTCAGAAGTTATACTCTCTAGGTTAGACTCAGTCATAGACTCAAAGGGAAGTTCAAATGGGGGTTCATAAGGTACAGGTTCTATAGGTTTAGGGTTAGGTTCAAAAGAGGACAACACAGCATCTTCCATAGACTCCAATTCAGTCATATTCTCCCCCTGAGTTGGAGGCTTGGGATAAAAAGATTCTTCCTCATGAAATGTGACATCACAACTGACAAAGATCTTTTTAGAAGTAGGATCATAGCATTTGTAGCCTTTTTGAGAGGCAGAACAGCCAATGAAGATACATTTGATAGCACAAGGATCAAGTTTGTTACTGTGATAAATGTGAACAAAGGCAGCACACCCAAAAACTTGTAAAGGAAGGTGGTTTTCAAGGTGAAGGTTAGAGTGGGTGCTATGGAGAACATCAAGAGGAGCTTTGAATGATAGTATGTGGCTAGGTATTCTATTGATGAGATGGGTGGCAGTAAGAATAGCATCACCCCAATAAAATTTTGGCACATTATGGGTGAGCAAAAGGGCTCTGGCAACGTCCAAGATGTGGTGATTTTTTCTTTCAGCTACCCCATTTTGTTGAGGGCTATGAACAAATGTACTTTTATGAACAATACCATTTTTTTGAAGGAAAGTGCTGAGAGCACTATTAATGAACTCTATGCCATTATTAGTGTGAATAATTTTTATGGCTGTTTGGAACTGGGTTTGAATCATATGGTAGAAATTCACATATATTGAGACAACTTCAGTTTTCTCTTTAAGGAGATAGGTCTAGCAAACTTGAGTGTGATCATCAATAAATGTTGTGAACCATTTTTGATTGGTTCTATTTGAAATATGGCTAGGTCCCCAAATATCACTATGGATAGTAGTGAAAGGTTGGGATGGTTGATAAATATTACAAGAAAACGTAGTCCTTTGGTGCTTTGCAAGTTCACAAACATCACAGTAAAACTTGGAAACATCTTTATTGGAACAAAGAGAAGGAAACATTTGACTCAAATACTAAAAGTTTGGATGATCAAAACGTTGAATGGTACTCAAAGCTTATGAGAAATTACCTACGACAGTTGCTATTGGTTGTTGGGATGAACTCAGCATTTGGAGTTTGTTTAAGAAACTCATAAATTTGGTGAACTGTTCAGACGAGAATGCATGAGATGTGGGGTTTACCTCATCAAGTTTTTCTGAACCGACATGGTAACCACATCCCCTTGGCCTTTTTGGTTTCCAATCTGGAGGTTTGCCATGAATATCCCAACAAGTTTCTTTAGTGTGACCTATCTTCTTGCAACACTCGCAAACAAGTTTGTTCTTTTGATTCCTTGAATCCACATTTTTAGAGGTAAGAGCAGAAGGTTCTGGCGCAGTATTAGATATACAATTATTATTTTTAAGCATTACCCGTTGTCGAGAATCTTCACATTTGACTTCAGCAAAAGCTTCTCAAATTGATGGAAGTGGTGCACAGTTGAGAATTCTTCCTTGAATGGCGTCAAGATTTGCATTAAGTCCAACAAGAAATTCAAACAGGCGTTCCTTATCTACATGTTGTTGTATTGGGCAACATCATTGGCATTCTTCCATGTCATCTCATTGTTCAAATCTAGCTTGTGCCAAAGTGTAGTCATTTCAAGATAATAGTGATTAAGACTTTGGGCCCCTTACTTCATATTCCATAGCTTGGTTTTTTTTCTCAAAAATTTGTGAGACATTTTCACCATCCGAGTATGCCTCACGAACAGCCTCCCAAATTTCATGGGCAGTAGGTAAATACATAAAAATCCTCCTTATGGTTGGCATCATAGCATTTACAAGCCACGATGCAACCATAGAATTTTCAGATTTCCAAGTGTGCACCCCCTTAGTGTTCAACTTGTTAGGTTTTTTAGTCTCACCTGTTAGAAATCCGAGATGTCCATGTCCTTCAATGGCAAGTCGAATTGTTTAGGCCCACTCTTTGTAGTTATCACTGGTGAGCTTCTCTGCTTCTCTAGGATGATGAGGACAGTGGACCCTTCCAGAAGTGGTATTGTGCCTATTCCTCCTCCCTGACGTCGATTTGAGCTCTCCATTTCAGTATGGGATCGTGGTCGATGATAGGCTTCAGTTTCAGTGGTGGACCGTGTTGGGTCATCGTGCGACGTTGCTGCCTGCTCCATCTCTTCTTTAGAGGATTGAAAAATCTTGATCTCTCCCTCTTGCTCTGATACCATGTGAGTAGAGATTCGAAGATGAACTATCTTATTTAGCTGAGATGCTCTATATATACAAGAAGGGAATCAAAGAATTAGAAATATAATGGCCTAATCTAAGCCAACATATCAGGGGAAGTAATGACTCCAATTTGCAATGGTCACAAGCTAGTAATCAGTGATTAAAATCAAACTCATTAAATTTTGATATTTCCCACAGGATACATCAACATTAGACATCCACTGATGAACTTCATACAAGTTCAGCTTGTGTCACAACTTCACAAGAGAGTTAATTTCAATAGGCTAGCATCATTGGTCCTAATGTTATCATCATGGCCGGTCTGACAAATACCATGTTTGACCTTCAGCACTATTTATTAGAGGAAATTGATGGAAATGCCATTACCACTTTGCCACTGGCCCTGGTCCTTTCTTGGGTCTACTTCACATTTCCCAACTGTTAAAATATTCAGTGAAAGCAGACTCATTTTGTCAGAAAATTTGAAATTAAAGAAACCTGTAGCTAATGCTATGCTTTTACTAGCTACAATGCAATTGCATGTGTGAACGTCAGCTTGGCTGTCATTGATAATAAAGTTTTACTTTTCAATTTGTGTATGCTTGAGCAGGTGATGTTTACATGTGGCAAGTACGATCTAGTTCATGAATTTTTCATGAAAGTTCAGAAGTTTTCTATTCCCAATGCATTGACATATAGAGGTACGGTCATGTATTTTTTCATGTAAAAGTGAAATCATGTAATTTTGAGATGATTTTGATGTTGACCATGATGTTACATCCATTTCTTGTGAATACACTATGGAAAGAGGGCAAACTGATGAGGCTATATTGGCAGTGCAAGATATGGAAAGACGAGGAGTTGTAGGTTCTGCTTCTCTTTATTATGACCTTGCTCGATGTCTTTGTGCAGCTGGAAGGTGTGGTGAGGCACTGATGCAGGTGGTGTTCCTCAGTTACGCTTTTAGAGTCTTTTTTATTTATTTATTATTATTATTTTTTTTTTTTTGTTCGACAAGTAGTAACACCAAGGATTAGGTGGTGGCAATTAAAAGGTGAGAAGCAAGATATTTTCAAGCGAAATCTTTTGGATAAAGGAATTTGGGATTCTCAGGGAAGTGCTAACATCATATGGGAGGATATGGCTAAAAGATACGGGAGGTTGCAAAAGTAGTTTTGGGAGAATCGAAAGGTCCTGGTCCGAGAGATAAGGAGTCTTGGTGGTGGAATAATAGTGTACAGGACAAAATCAAGTATAAGAAGAACTGTTTAAAGCCATACATTTGTGTAACAATGAGAAAATTGGGAGAGGTACCGTATGGCTAAGAAGGAAACTAAGAGAGCTGTGGGTGAAGCTCGTTCTAAAGCTTTTGAAGAATTTTATAAGAACCTTGAGACGAAGGAGGAGAGCAAAATATTTATAAGATTGCCAAGAGTAGGGAAAGAAAATCAAGAGATCTAGAACAGGTAAGGTGTATTAAGGATGAAGAGGGAAGAATTTTAGTTACAGATGATGAAATTAAAATAGATGGAGACTTATTTTTCTAAACTTTTCAATGATGGAGAGGATTCATCTAGTAACTTGGAGGATTTAGTAACTGGTGAAGGAGAACAAAATTTGTCATTCTATCGAAAAATACGTGATAAGGAGGTAAAGGAAGCTCTTAAGAAAATGGCAAATGGTAGAGCTAACGGACCTGATTGTATATCTATCGAAGCGTGGAATGTTTAGGTGAAGAAGGGGTGAGATGGTTAACTAAGTTATTTAATGTGATTTTACGGTCCAAGAAAATGCCTGATGAGTGGAGGAGAAGTACATTAATTCCTATTATAAAAATAAAGGAGATATTCAGAATTGTACTAACTATAGAGGGATTAAACTCATGAGCCACACAATGAAATTGTGGGAGAAAGTAATTGAGCACAGGTTGAGATTGGAGACAAGTATTTCTGAGAATCAATTTGGTTTTATGCCAGGTAGATCAACTACAGAGGCGATTTATCTACTAAGGGGATTAATGGAAAAGTATCGTTGTAAAGATAAAGATCTACACATGGTTTTTATTGATTTGGAAAAAGCTTATGACCGTATACCAAGAGAAGTGCTTTGGAAAGCGTTGGAAAAAAAGGGAGTACGGATTGCTTATATTAAAGCCATACAAGATATGTATGAGGGGGTAAAAACTAGTATAAGAACGCCTAGTGGTCAAACAAAGGATTTTCCTATAAAGATTGGGTACATCAGGGATCATCTCTGAGTCCTTATTTGTTCAACTTGATTTTAAATGTTTTGACGGAACATATTCAAGAGGAAATCCCGAAATGTATGCTCTTCGCGGATGATATAGTTCTTATAGCAGAGACAAGAGAAGAGGTTAATTGCAAACTTGAGTTATGGAGGAGGACATTGGAGTCGAAAGGTTTTCGTCTGAGTAGAAGTAAGACGGAATATTTATTTGTAAATTTGAAAGGACTATTCGAAAATAATTTGGAAGTGAAATTGGGAGATCAAATTATACCTCAAGTGGAAAAGTTTAGATATTTGGGAGCCATTATCAAAATGATGGCGAAATCAGTGGAGATATTTCACATAGAATTCAAGCTGGGTGGTTTAATTGGAGAAAAGCTAAAGGAGTTATTTGTGACCGTAAGGTGCCTAATAAACTTAAAGGAAAGTTTTATCGTACTGCTATCAGACCGGCAATGTTATATAGTAGTGAATGCTGGGCTCTAACGGGACAGCAAGAGCATAAAGTTGGAGTAGCAGAGATGAGAATGTTACGATGGATGTGCGGACATACACGTAAAGATAAAATTCGAAATGAGCACATACGTGAAAAAGTGAGGGTGGCACCTATTGAGGAAAAAATGGTAGAAAATCGGTTGAGATGGTTTGGGCATGTACAAGAAGACCAAGGGAGGCACCAGTGAGAAGAGTGGAACATATAACTTTGAGTCCGATTAAGAGAGGTAGAGGAAGGCCTAAGAGAACACTCTTGGAAGTTGTTGAACGTGATCTCTTAATTAATATATTCTAAAAGCTTAATAAATGATAGAGCACAATGGCGTCTTGCAATCCATGTAGCCGACCCCACCTAGTGGGATAAAGGCTTGTGTTTTGTTGTTGTTGGGTGTTGTGAAGTGGGAGGGGCTGAAGTTTTTTTCTTGTTCTTTGAAGCTCCATGCTTTGTCTTTGAAAATATGAGTGCATTTGGGGGATATGATGCATGCAGATACTTGCACCGCCTGGGTGGAAAAAGACTCAACAACAACAACACACCAACAAAGCATTTATCCCCACTAGGTGGGGTCGGCTACATGGATTGCAAGGACGCCATGTGCTTATCATTTTATCACTTTAGGAATATTATAATTAAGAGATCGCGTTCAACAACTTCCAAGAGTGTTCTCTTAGGCCTTCCTCTATCTCTCTTAATCGGACTCAAGTTATATGTTCCACTCTTCTGATGGTGCCTCCCTTGGTCTTCTTTGTACATGCCCAACCATCTCAACCGATTTTCTACCATTTTTTCCTCAATAGGTGTCCCCTCACTTTTTCGCGTACGTACTCATTTCGAATTTTATCTTTACGTGTATGTCCGCACATCCATCGTAACATTCTCATCTCTGCTACTTCAACTTTATGCTCTTGCTGTCCCGTTTTAGCCCAGCATTCACTACTATATAACATTGCCGGTCTGATAGCAGTGCGATAAAACTTTCCTTTAAGTTTATTAGGCACCTTACG